GAGCTCCTCACATGGACCCGGGCCCATCCGTCCCGCGGCGCATGGGATACGTGAGGAAAGGGCGACGCCCTGCGCGACACGCAGCCGCATAGGATTGGGCCATTCACCGGGCGGATTTCAGCCACTCCTTCATCGATATTGGACGCCACGGGGCATGAAGATGCGCACACCCTGGCTACATTACATGTGCGATCATGCCTTCACCTGTGCTGCATGGCGGCAAACGGGACGAGCAAACAAACTCCTCCATCAGCTGGTAGAATAAGCCGCTAACCTCTTTCACCTCCGCTACCAAACAATCCCCAAATGCCGGAGACGGAAGAATGGTGTGCTGGCTGGCCTAACAAGAAATACAGGGGTAACAATCGGACGCTTTGCTTCCAACGTCGCGCAAGTCCGAGGTTGAAACGACTACCACATGCGATGAACCTGTCAGGGGATGATTTCAGGAACCTCCCTCTGCCATCGATCCAAACTCATTGACCAGGGACATGACACGAGATAGGCCCTAAGAAACCCTGGCTTGGTTTGGTCGCCTGCCAGAACATCCGACCTCGTGAGGTGTGATGGAGGTATGGTGTGGTACTGTCTGGTGCGAGTCCTTCAGGTGTCCGTACCAAGTCATTCGCCACCGCGCTTGCAACGCTTGTTGAATGCATCGGGCCCTTGCTGCCTTGATACCCGTGCTTCCCGAAGCAGTACCTGAGCCACCTGGACCGATACCCTCGCGAATCCACGATTCTCCCGCCGAGCCACTCCGTTTCGGCTTTCTGCTGTGTCAGCCAAGCTGGCCTCAGCACCTCGCGTGGCGCCATCCATGCAAGGCTCCAGGGGACGGGCCTCGTCGACCCCGAGCACCCCCCGCCCCCCCCCCCAGGCACCCCGCAGCCAAGAGGAGGGGGGCAAGACGCGGAGCAGGGAAAAGAGGAGGGGCTGTGGAACACGCTCCCCGGCGCAAAAGATTTCCGCCACGGCTCTGGGATGCCTCCCTTGCCGAGCCCACCGAGCGGAGGCCAGCCTGTCAGCCGGCGTCCTGCGGCGCGCTGCGAGGCACGCGATCCTCTTCTTGCCCGTGGGGGTGAGGAGGGACAAGGGAGGAGAAAGAAGATGCGGGCAGGACGGAGGTCCGCGCTTGTCTGCTCCCCGTCGCCGCTGCCCTCGGTCGGCAGGCTCAGAGGAGGTTCCATATTTTCGTCAGGCAAGGGCTGCCCGGTGTCCGCAGCTCGTCTCCGTCGGACATGCCCCGTGACGCAGTATGCTTGGCGGGTGCGCTGGCAGCAGTGGACGAATGAACTGAGGTCCCATCCCAGGACAGCGGCGGACATCGGACAGGGAACCTGGAGGTGAACTAGCCCCCCCTCCGCATTACAGCGGAGGCCAGTCCACGAGAAGCCATCCACGAGCAGCCCAACCCTGAGACCCCAGGACGTCCACTGATGTTTGGTGTGGGAACGGCACGCCTTCCATCGCAAAACCATCGAAACCCAAGAAACCCAGGGCACCCTGGAGGCAAGCCGGGTGTCTTGGCATGGGTCTCCACTGTATTCCTTCACCTGCGCAGTCCTGGACTCTATCTCGGTTGGAGGCAGGCGTGGGAGCGTGATGCGTGATTGCGGAAATCTGTCTTCTCCGTGCAGTGGCTCTCACTCCTGCATGTACGACTGCCTGCGCATGCCAGTGGCAATAACTTCTGCGGAAAAGCAATCGGCCGCCCTCACAAAGTCACAGACGTTCGACCTTCCCGTCCCACATCCGCTCCCCAGCACCATCGAGCCCGGTATGAGCATGGACGTGGCCGCGATGCAGTGGCAGAAGTTGTCCCAATCGCCGCGCTGTGTGCCACGTTGGGGGGACGCGACTGTGCTCGTACTCTTTCGTCTCCTTGATGCCCTCGGACCCGATACACAAGAGCATACCTCAAGAACATATCTAGAAAAGCCTGTCAATCGCTCCTTCCTGCCTGACATTCTGGGCTTGCGTGACACGTCGGAGCAGCGCATCTGCGCGCGGAGATGCTCTCCCTGCGCCAGCGGCCCTTAGAGCGGCGAAAATGGGGCACACGGCAATTGCCGACCGCTCCAGCGCCCCTGATCTTGGGAACATTGACAAACAACACCAACATCACCAGGGACCATCAGCGGGAGGAGCCAGGGATTCGTTCCCTGATGGTGTGGTCCCCCCTCTCGCTCGGGACATCCCCTATTCCCTGGCTCGGAGAGGCGTCGTGGACCTCTTCGCTAGAGGTGACCCCCTGTTGGTGTTGGTGTCGCTCCTCCTTCCTCCCATGCCCTGTTCGAATTCAAAACGCCCCCCCGAAACGAACACGCCGTGCCCCGCAGCCCGACGATGATGGCATCGGCACCGGCCCTAGCAGAACACCTGGCGGCGCCAACAACACTGCGACCGAACATCGGATGGCATTGGAGAAATCACGGACAACTATTACAATTCGTTGACGCAAAAGGGGGTCCAACTGAAAGGGGGTGGTGCAATACGTTCGATGCAAGTGTATTGCAAATGGACTGTGCCAAAGAATTGCACTGCACTGTGTTGCAACTAACGCATTGCTCACGAAAACCCAGCAGTACATTTGCGCACCAGAAGGTATTGCACGCCCCAAATCGATTGCAACCCTACAAATCTATTGCACCAGCGCTACTGCACTATCCCCTTGACGCTGGACCCCCTTTTGGGTCAACCAGATTGAAGACCCCCAGGGAACTTCCAGAATCTGGGGCAGCGCCGACCAGTTTCACGAGGCCGCCCAAGCTGACAACCCCGCAGGCGGAGGCACCAAAACATCTCACCAGAACGACGCTGCACGGAACGACATTCTGCCAGAAGGGTCTCAGACCGCTCCTCAGACAGCCCCCTGGAAGGCTCAGCGAGATCGGCGCCGGCAAAGGTTCCTGGCACCAGTGCGGCACAACGGGCTTGGAAGTCCGCTTTCCTTGCGACTCCCCACGCAGAACGATGCCTTCACGCAGTGCACCGTCACGCTAAGTCACCGACCACGCAGGTCCAAAAGCACCTGCACGAAACACGCGTACACACAAAGAGAGGCACACTGAGCTAAGAAACGAATGCTATCTGTATTCGCCGGCCCCCTTGTGGGGCCACCAGGCTGTTGGCCGAAGCGTGCTGCTCCCTGCGCCGGTTGCAGCTTCAAGTCTCCGATGTTACAATCCTGCCTTCTGCCTCGGACTGGAAAACTGTTGAAGTTCGCGCGAAGGGGGGGAGCCCCAAACCGCCCGATGTATTACCACGCCCGGATCGCGTCGCCCGAATTCCAGAGGAGGGGGCGTAGGACACTACAAAATACATGAGATGCGCGCCCCCGAGGCCAGAATCCTTCGTAAATTACTCCAGATTTCACAATAAAAGGGGGGTGGTCTGATTTGGGATGGGGTCAGATTTGAGCTGTCTTGGAGGGTTCCAGTGGGTCTGGGCAAGAAGCCGCCCTTCATGGCTTGTTTGGGGGGGTCTGGAATTGCCCGTCTGTGAGGGTTGTGACCCCCTCCCTTTTATGGCGAAATCTAGAGTACGCGGTGGTCGCTTCCCCGAGGCCACGCGCCCTCGTAAAATACGCATGTGTTGCGCCCCCGAGGCAACAAACCTTTTTGTAGATTATGCCATACCTATTCGCGTCCCCGAAGCCATCAACCTTCGCAACTTACACCGTATCCGCATTGCCGAGGCCAAGAGTGCTCCAAGGCGCCCGGAGACGGTTCCGAGACAGCCCAAGAGGGCCCGAAGAGGGCTCAAGAGCGCTCCACAAGACTTCCCGAGAGAGCCCCAAGAGGCCAACATCGTAGATGTTCCAAAAATGTTTTAAAAGATTTTCGCCGTCTCGCATTTTCGGCTTTCCGACGCTCCAACACGGCTCAAGAAGCTCCCAAGACTGCCCAAGACGCCTCCAAGATGGCCCCAAGACGGCTCAAGAGGGCTACAAGATTGCCCAAGAAGTGCTCAAGACGGCCCAAGAGGGCCCCCAAGACGGCTCCAAGAGGGGCCCAAGCAGGGGACAACGAACCGAGCATTCGATATGTTTGCCCCGAGAAGCCCCCAGGAGGCTCCAAGAGGCCGCCACGAGGCCCCAAGAGGCGCCCAAGACGCGCCCAAGAGGCCTCCAAGAAGTCCAAAAGATACCCCACGAGGCCCCATGAGGCCACCAAGAGGCGCCCAAACCGCCTCCAAGAGGCTTTCAAGGGAACTGTGCTTTGCAAAATCTCCCCGCCCCGCCTCAGAACCAGGACCCCTCTCTCCCCCTCGAACCTCGAAAACCTCCCCTCGTCCGACGAGAATTCGAGCTCCCCGCTCATCACCCCCCCCGCCCCCGGAAAGTCAGAGGGGGTCTGTACAGTCAACCCGTATCATAAGGATGCGCGGTAAGGATGCAAGGGCCTTGGAGGCCAACGTGAACGTTTTTCCGAGCGAGGTGGGCCAGCGAAAATCGCCAAGGATGGGCCGAAGGGGCAAGGGTGCAAGGATGCAACGGGGGTTGCCCGACCTTACCCTGCGGGTTGACTGCAACCTCCCCCCCACGCACCTTTCTGCCCCTCCTGCGCGCCGGCAGACAAAAGGCGAGCACGGTGACAACGCCGACGCCAAGAGTGAGACGAGGACGGCCGGAGGCCGACGACCAACACGACAACGAGGGCTGGACACCGACGGTGTCTGGCACGTCGTGCGGGCGGGACATGCAAGGGGGCGGGTCGGGGCCGTTCGGGCGGGGCAGTGGAGCGGGCGGGTGGTGAGGCGGAAGGGCGGGCTGGATATGGAATGGCGAGGTTGACGGAAAAGACTCGAAGCAAAAAACAGGGACAGCGACGACGGCCTCCTGCTCCACCTCCTCCTCCTCCTCCTCCTCCTCCTCCTCTCACTTTGTAGGGGGCGAGGCTCGAAAAGTGGACTCTTACGCGGCGGGGAGCGGTCAGGACCTCTCCCCCCAGCGCAAGCCCCCACAAGTATCCTGGATCAGCGCCACAAGCGCCCCTCTCCCCTCAAGCGCTCTTTCCTGGATCATGACGCGCACTGGGGCCCAAACGGGTGCACTCATCGGTGGCAGCAAGCCCCCGCCCGGCGTGACAGCGGCAGCGGCAGCGCGGCAGCGGCACAAGCTCAGAACTCAGAATGCGGCACCGACGGGCGCGACAGCAGAAGCGCCGGGACTTAGAGGCCGTGAGGAAGTAAGCGAGGGGGGCTAGCGGCGAGGCCTTGCACTTCGCACACTCGAACGTGCGGTCGACCGACACCTCCCCACTGCAACGCACTCCTCTCAGACGCCCGCGCCTGTGCACATTGTTCTGTCCAGGCTCACCCCAGTGGGTCGTCCTGCCTGAAATCCAAGATGCCAACCTGAACAGTCAAGTCAAGACCAAGCATCCTACCATTCAAGTCTAGCTGGTGGCCTCTGAAAAGTACGCAAAGGAGCGGGGGAAGGGCGGTGGGAGAAACAAGCCAGACCGATCCTGGAACGCGTGCGGTTGCGGGGCGGTCCAGCCTGCTACACTCCCGTTCCACGCACTTTCCTGAGAAATACCTCCGCATCCCTGCCCAATAATAATCTCTGTCATGACCTACCCCTCGGCCCCATAAATGATTAAGTCCTTACCAAACCGATATGGACCAGGCGCGGCTTGTGCGATCACTGTATCGGCCTGACGGGCGCCAACCTGCTTAACAGGTGTAGGCGGAGCTTGTCCGACAAGGCGGGAGTGAGAACGCAGCTGCCGTGGGAAAGAACGGGGATGACATTTCCCACTCCCTGAAGCTATGCGGCGGCTGCAGTGTCCCATAGGACCCGGTCCTCCTCTTGACGGTGGGGGAGGGCGAGGTCGTCGCACCAACCCGGCGCCAACGTCGAATGCGCGACGCTCGCTGCGTTGATTTTTTGGTCGGCGGCTCCGAGGCAGCGGACAGGGAGCGGAAGGCGTCGTCTGGGCCAGCAGGCGAGGCTAATTAGCTACAACAGGCAACGCACCTGCGGTAAGCTCACTGCGTTGAACGGACGCTGCCGAAGAAGCTGGGGACGCACCGCGGCCGGGCTCGCGTGCGGAGCGCGCGGCCGCGCGCTCGTCCCTTCCGCGGAGCCCGCGGCCGCTCCGAGGTGGCGGCCGCTCGGCCCCGACTTTCCCCCTGACTGGCCTCCCACGCTGCCCCGCGCGGGAGGCCAGGGACCTCAGCACCGGACGAAAGGGGGGGATAGCAAAGGGGGGGTTTGAGAATCAGCTCGCGTAGCTGATTTTCCGGGCGCCTCCCGGCGGAGGCGGCCATGTATCGAGGAATGGGCTCCTCGGTGGGGCCGAAACCAGCTGCATGCAGCTAATTTCATAACCCCCCCTTTCCCAATCCCCCCCTTTCGTCCGGCCCGATTCCTGTGCGGACTGGCGGCGCGGCCGGGGCAGCGAAGGGCCGTGGCTCGCAAATACTGCGCAATTGCTACCTGCCCGAGCACCCCAAGCTACCCCGAAGACCCGAGTTTCGGGTTGGGGTGGGTACGGGTTCCACTTTTTTATTATCGTTTTTGTCCCAATGTTCCCCGCGCCCCCCCCCATTGGGAATGGAGGGCAAATTGTGGCCTTCGGGTTGGGTTGGGGTGGTTCGGTGGGTGGTGGGTAGTAAGCACCCTGCAGGCGGGCATGGCCGCCAGCATAGATCACACAGGGAAGCTGCAGCATTCTTTTTTTTGCGACAGTGGTCCCTGGCGCGTTTTCCCTAGACAGACACCAACACCTCCGACACATTTGTTCGTTTCGCGACGTGCCCCCTGGAACTCCCGTACATTAGTGAGGGGGTCTCCTACAGCGACCATTCGCAGGCCATGGCTGTTAACTTCTTGGCCCGCGGAATGAAAACACAAAAAACAGAATTTGACAGACGAAGCGCCTTGAAATTTTCAAAATTCCGCTGAGCACTGATTTTTGCACGGCCTGTTTTGCCATCGGCTGCTTTGCAATATTCAGAATTCCACGGGGCATTGATTTTTGCCAGGCATGTTTTGCCATGGGGCGATGTGTCATCGATTTCAAAGCGGGGAACCCCAGGCGATGCTCATTGGTACAACGCCCAAAGGGTTTCCGAAACAAACAGCGCACATGTTGGATTTGGCGCGCGGCGTACGCGAGTGAGAAAGCAGCCGCTTCTCTAGGGCAGCGCGCGCCTTGAGGGGACGCAAGCTTCAACGTGCGAGCGCGTCCACCGCGCAAGCGCAAACGCTACGAGCGCGGGAAAAACCGTCCGCTGCACGGCGATGCGCACACCTGTCGCGACATCACTCGAGAGCGTCGCAATCACATTTGTTTCCGCCCAACTTTGAAGACGGCGCCGCGTAACCGAAGCGCGCGCGGGCGCGCCAAAATCGAAGCAAACACGCACGCGCATACGCACGCGCACACACACACACACACACAGACACACACACGCGCGCACACACACACGCACGTGCACGTAGCGAGCCAAACTTTTGAGTCGC